CCTCGCGGCCCTTCCTGGGCCGCCGCGGCCCGGGCAGCCGGAAAGCCGAGGCCGCGAGGCCGGGGTGCGGAAGGGAGGCCCGGGTGGCCGTCCGGCGGAGTCGGGCCGGGTCAGGCCAGGACTCTGCAGGGAGATCCCCGGTTACTTAACAGCAGGCTGATTACCTAAGGGAGAAATGCCAAACGCTGCCTGCAACAACCCCTCTCACTCCCGGTTGGAAATTACTTTAGCGATTTTATTTGATTTGTTGAGACGGTCTCGCTGAGTAGTTCAGGCAGGCCTCAAACTCTGGGATCCTCCTGCCTCAGCCTCCTGAGTGCTGGAATTACAGGTGTGTACCACCATGTCCGGCTTTTAGCAGTTTTGGAATACTTTTTTGTCTTGTTTTATTTTTTTTTTTGTTTCTTGTTTTTCTTCTGGTATCAGGAATCGAACTCATGACCTAGTGCTTGCCAGGCAGGCGCTGTGTGCTCAGGTAAATCCCCAGCCCCTTTGGAATACTTCAAAATGCGCAGCATGACCAATCAGAGAAAATAATCCTTTGGTCATTTGTTTTCACTTTATTTTAGTGGTTATACGGGCTAAGTTATTTTTGACATACCGGAATAGGCTTGTAAGAAGCTCAATAAGCATTGTGTCTGCTCTTGCTAATACTCCTCAGGGAAGTTTCTGGGACCTTTGTTTTCCTGGACTTTTTTCTTTTTTGCAATAGTGGTAATTGAACCCAGGGCCTTCACACTGAGCCATGGCACCCAACTCTTTCTATATTTTAAACTTGGAGATAGAGTCTCACTAAATTGCCCAGGTTGGGCTCAAACTTGCCATCCTCCTGCCTCAGCTTCCCAGAGTGCTGGGATTACAGGTGTGAGCCACCGTGTCCAGCTTCCTGGGTGCTTTTTATTTCTGTTTTTTTTTTTTTTTTTTTTTGTACTGGGAATCAAACTCACAACCTTGCACTTGCCAAGCAGGTGCTTGTACCACTGAGCTAGATCCCTGGCCCCTGGGTGTTTTTAAAGGGAACAAAGTCTCCGTTCCTGTTAGAGAGTTTGCTCTGTGTCCTTCTATATTCCCAGAGTGCAAGGGGGAGAAAAGGGCTGGGGTTCTTCGGGTTCCTGGCCCTGGTCCTGGAGGAGCCCGGCAGGCTTTCCTGTACCTGTGCAGATGACGTCCTCAGCCCCCTGGCTTGGCCGGCTTCTGGTGTACCTGCCTGATCATCCCTACCTCCCTGCTGCTTCCCCTCCTCAGTACCTGAGCCCACTCCACACCCACCTGCACATTGGCCCTGAGTCCCCTTGGTGCAGCCCCTCCAGCTGTTACACCCACTGTGGGTCCTGGGTCTGTGAATTGCACCGTATCTGCTCAGAGCCTGTGCACCTCCTCAAATCCCAACTAATCTCTACCCAGTACAGTGGAAATGCCACATACCTGTTAAGCCGTGCTGTTTAGAAAAAAAGGATGTACATGTTCAGACAGGTGCAATTTTTTCTTTCCAAATATTTTTACGTGAGGTTGGTTGAACCTTGGAATTAGAACCCATGGGCCTGTTGCATGTCTTTGTCATTCTTTTCTTTCTTTCTTTTTTTTTTTTTTGGTTTTTCTCCAGTACCAGGAACCGAACTCACGACTTTGCGCTTGCCAGGCAGGCGCTTTGCCACTGAGCTAAATCCCCAGCCCCCTGTCATTCTTTTCTTTCTTTCCTGTCTTTTTTTTCTTTTTTTTTGAGACAGGGTCTTGCTATGTAGTTTAAGCTAGTCTCGAACTTGGCAGTCTGCCTGCCTCACCTCCTGAGTGCTGAGATGACAGGTGTGCATCCCCACGCCTGGGTCTGATTTCATTCCTATGCAGGACTTTTCTCCTGAAGAAGCAAGAAACATCAGTTTTGGTTTTTTTTGTTGTTGGTTTTTTTGTGGTACCAGGAACTGAACTCTCGACCTTGCACTTGCCAGGCAAGCGTTGTGCCGCTGAGCTAAATCCCCAGCCCCTGAAACACCGATTTTTCTGCGTGCCCATGCTGTTGAATCGTTAATTCAATAAATAGTTACTGGGCATCTACTGGGAGGGAAGCTGTCTTCAAAGCTGCGAAAGAACCTGCGTGTGGTGGTGCCCACCTGTCATCCCAGCAGTCGGGAGGCTGAGGCAAGAGGATTTCTGTGAGTTTGAGGCCAACCTGAACTACTTGGCAAGAATCAAACCAAAACAAAACCAAAAAGGGATGCAGATTTGGAGGGAACACAAACATTCAGTCCACAGCGATCATCATTTCAGCCCAATCAGTAGCCTGCACACAGTTATGACTGAGGATGTACACACTTGTTTATTGCTGTAAGACATTGCATGACATGCTTTTTACCAAGATTGTCTCATTCTTGCGGTACTATCATGTAGGTAGTATCGTCATCTCTGGTCTGTAGATGTGGCAGAGAACTTGAAGGGTGATTAAAAACCCTGCCCGGGCATGCGTGTTTGGAGTCCATCTGGGCTTGTGTCCTCATCCTTTTCTCCCAAAGGAGTGAGCTGAACCCGTGGAGAGCCACCTGCCCGAGACCGCAGATGGTCTGTTCGGCCGTCTCGTCCCTGCTGTTCCCCACCTGCTAGCACCAGGGCTGCACTCCTGACTCATGGCCCAGCCTCTGTCCTCGTACTGTGCTACTCTTTGGCCCAAAGGGTCCCAGAGGGACTTCACCAGTCAGGGTTTCCTGGGGGGAGTTTTGATTGTATAATTTTGGTAGTTGCTGTCTTTTCTCATCTCGTGAGCAGGTTCCAGAGAAAGACGAGGCAATGGGGGACCAAAGGCCTTCCACGCCCTGTCGGTCCCCGCCGCCAGCTGCCAAGAAGAGCTCCTACCTTTACTCCACGGAGATCACGCTGTGGACCGTGGTGGCCGCCACGCAGGCCGTGGAGCAGAAGGTGGACTCCTGCCTGGCCCGCTTGCTGGCTCTGGAGGGCCGCATGGGGACAGCCGAGAAGAAGCTGGCCGACAGCGAGAAGACGGCCGTGGAGTTCGGCAACCAGCTGGAGGGCAAGTGGGCCGTGCTGGGGACGCTGCTGCAGGAGTACGGGCTGCTGCGGCGGCGGCTGGAGAACCTGGAGAATCTGCTGCGCAACCGGAACTTCTGGATCCTGCGGCTGCCTCCGGGGAGCAAGGGCGAGGTCCCCAAGGTAACCTTTGGGTGCCCTGGGGTGGAGCGCCTGAGGGCCCTGTGGCCAGCATGTGGGTGAGCAAGTGTGACCCTTGTGGTTCCAGGTGCCCGTGACCTTTGATGATGTGGCCGTGTATTTCTCCGAGCAGGAGTGGGGCAAGCTGGAGGAGTGGCAGAAGGAGCTGTACAAGCACGTGATGCGGGGCAACTATGAGACGCTGGTCTCCCTGGGTGAGGGTGTGGGAGCTGCCGGCCTCCGTCCCAGTGGCCTCTGCACTCGGGTCTTTGCTTTGCTCCTCTTTCTTTGCTCCTCTCAGCCTCTCCGTGGGCAGCTGGGACCCACCCCTTTCTCCGTCCCCTCCCCGTTCCTTTCGCAGATTATGCCATCTCCAAACCCGACATCCTCGCCCGGATGGAGAGGGGAGAGGAGCCCTGGCCCACAGCCCCGTGGGGCCAGGAGAAGGGGAGCAGGGAGCCTGCAGCGCGCCCGGGGATGCCTGGTGAGGGCGGGCGTGTGCAGGGTGGCGGTGCAGAGAGACCCATGGTCCCAGGAGGGCATCGCAGATGATCTAGGGGCTGGAAGGCAGCACCGGCCTTAGAGCAGGGTGGTTGGGCCCTGTCCAAGGCCGCCTCCAGGAGTGCTGCTGGGGCTTTTCCTTAGGTCATTGTGTGTGTGCCGACCCAGGGCACAGTCGTGAGGGGCTGTCGTGAGGACTGCGATGGCCACCGCTGAACAGGAGGTGGGGGCATCTCGTAATGAGCGGCGGATTGCTGTTAACGGTGATAGCACAGCTGTGTCCTCACCTCCTGGCGCCTTGGCGGTTTCAGGGCCACCTGTCCCACACTGCCCCAGCTTGGCCTCCCACCACTGCCCCTGTGTCTCCTCCGGCTGGGCGAGGGGCTCAGCTGGGGCCTGCTCCGTGCATAGCTAGTGTGGGGACAGGGGCTCCAGGGGGAGTATGTGTCAGAGTCCTGGGGAGCACTTGAAAGTGAGTGGTGTGGGGGAGATCTCCCCAGTGATCTGGGTGTCCTGTCCCCCATCTCAGGCCGGTGTCTGGTTGCAGACTGCTCTCAGCTGGCCCGGGCCTGTGGCACAGCTGATCTGTCAGGGATGGAATCCATCACCTGACTCGTTCACCATTGACCTTTTTTGCTCACAGTGTGATTCTTTCTCTCAGGTTTTTTTCTTTAAGACAACAAAACCAAACCTCTTCGTTTCTTGTGTGAAGGGGCACATGTGTTCATTTTAGAGCATCGCCGTAAATCTTGGTGACCAACAGGTTTTTAGGGTCTGGGCTCTGGCCTTGAGTGCACATTTGCAGAAACCTGGGTGTGAGCCGGACATGCGTAGGATAAAGTGTCTCAAAATACTACACTTCTGCCAGGTGTGGTGGCGCACGTCTGTAATCCCAGAACTCGGGAGGCTGAGGCAGGAGGATCATTGCAAGTTTGAGACCAGCCTGGGTTACAAAGTGAGCTCAAGGCCAGCCTGAGCTGCGTAGTGAGACCCTGTCTCAAAAAGACAAAAACAAAAAAACCCACGACGCTTTATCTGTGGTGATGTGGGAACACCACAGGCTACATCTGCACTGTGGGTTTTCCACGGGACCCCCGTGGACCCTAGTTTAGCCAGAGAGCCCCCAGCCACCTGGCTGGGAGACTTCTGTGTTGAGCTCAGTGTCACCGGTCTGCTTTCTGCAGGTCCCACTCCATGTCCTGAGCGGGTCCCCAGCCCTGTAAGCCTCCCCCAGGAGGAGCCCAAAGAAGGGCCAGCCCCTGTGCAGCCGCAGGATGAGGAAGCAGGGCTGACCCCTGCCAGGCCAGGCGCTGGTGAGTGACCGCAGCAGCAGGGCATCCGTGCTGGAGGCTTGGAACGGGAGAGGCGGCAGCCATGCAGCCGGGTTGGCCCCGGGAAGGCGCCCGAGAGAGGCCCCCCAGGAGGGGCCCACAGTGCAGGCATCTAACGTGCAGGGAAGCAGCGGGAGGGAGCCCTGCTGCCTCAGCGTGTGCTGGCCCGGCTGGCGCCAGCCCCATCCTTCCTGGGACCGCCAGCTGACACAGGCCGTGTTCCTCCTCACTGCACAGGGGGGCACAGCCCCTGCCCTTCTGGGCTCCTGTGTGCGTGTGGGGTTGAGGTCAGCGTGTCTGCCTGGGCAGAGCTGGGCCTCGGCCCTCCTGAGGCCGTCAGGGTGTCAGTGAGGTGCAGAGGGACGAGTCGTGAGCCCAGGCCCACAGCGTCTCTCTCTCACAGGCCCTCCAGCAAGCACCCGCATTTGCTCCTCAGTTAAACAGGAAGGGGACTCTTCAGAGGGGGACCCAGCAGCCTCCCCTCGTAGGGACAGGCTGCCCAGTGTGGGGCCAGGTGAGTGATGGGAGGGCGCTCCCGGGGCTACAGCAGAGCCTGGAAGGAGCTCAGGGACCTGGTGAGGGGCGTCCTCCAGAGGCCTCCCTCCTTGCCCAGCTGTGTCTAGGGGGACATGGGGACCGGGTCAGCCTGAGATTCTGGGGTTCTGCAAAGCTGTCCGCCCTTGTTGGAAAGGTCCTGCTTGAAGACAGGCTGCATGTACCAGGCGTGGCCTACAGGTGACAGAAAGGTTGTCCCTGCAGCCGGTGAGGTGGCCCGGGCTCAAGCTTCCAGCGTCGCACACTTTGCATGCGTTGGCCAGCGGTTTAAACTGAAGACTTCTGTGTGGCTTGCTGGTGGGGCTTGGTGTCAGGACCCTCCCCTCCTTGGCCTGCTGAGCCCTCAGGTGACCACGCTGCTGCCTCAGCCTCTGCTTTTCACACCTCTGTCCTGGCAGCTCCTCACCTCAGTCCCACCTGAGTCAGGGGAGTGCACGTTGAGCCCCAGCAGGAATCGCGGGCCGGGGTCCCCAGGGTTCAGTGTGGGCGTGTAGGGGGCACCCTGTGGAGCTGCTAGTTGCTACTTGGAAGAGTGACTTCCAGCATGGGTGTCTGAGTTACTTTTATCGTTACTGAGACAAAACATCTGACACTTAAAGGAGGAGAAGTTTATTTAGCTCACAGTTTGTAGATGTTTCAGTCCATAATCGTCTGGCTCCAAGGCAGAGTGGCATGCACACAGGCATTGCAGAGGAGAAACAGTTCATGGCAGGCAGAAGGTAGCAAAGCAACAAGGGACGACCACAGCTCTTTCTATCCCTGATATCTTGTCCAGGCTACTCAGGGCGGGTAGCACTCACACCTGTAATCCTGGTGCCCTTGACCCTAGCACTGCACCATGAATCAATTCCAACATCACATACTAGAGATCCGGCCACTTCTGAAAAAGCCCCACCTATGACCAAAGGAGCTGTAACAATGGGTCACAGGCTGCTGAGGTCCCTGATGTCACCAGAGGCAGTCAGGGCCTACAGGCTCCTCATCCTTTATGGATTATAACCATTGTCATTGGGATTCTCGGCTCCCTCTAAGGGCCGGGTCTCCCTCCGCTCCTGCTGCCTGTATGGCAGGTCTGGCCCGGGATCTCCTGGGCTCCTGGCTTTGCAACTTTCACTACTCTCTCCTGGTGTCTTGACTCTGCCAGTGCAGCTTCCTTTGCAGGTGGCAGTGCTGTGGCCATTAAGACAGAAGCTCCGTCCGAGGATGAGACGATGCCAGAGCAGCTCTTCGTGGGGTCCCCAAGCCAGACCAAGTGTCGAATCCCCAAGGGGCCCCGGAACCAGACTGGAGGTCCCGTGCGGCATCGTGCCCAAGTGTTGCCCCAGCCACCTGCGGCTGTCAGGGAGCCGCCCCGGGTGCTGCCTCGCCGTCAGCAGGAGCGCGCCTTCCCTTGCCCGGACTGTGGACAGAGCTTCCGCCTGAAGATCAACCTGACGATCCACCAGCGCAGTCATGCAGAGGGGGAGAGGGGAGGCCATGCCACCCTGGAGCCAGGCGAAGTGGTGGTACCTGGCCCCGTCATCCGCTGGCTTCCCGAGGAGCCCAGGGGCCGCCGTGCCCTGGCAGGCCAGACCTTGGCAGGGCAGAGGCCAGCAGCGACCAAGGTGTACCGCTGCAGTAAGTGCCTGTGCTTCTTCCAGCATCATAGGAGCCTGCTGCTGCACCAGCGCCTGCACACGGGGGACAGCCAGGGCTGGCCCACTTGCCCCTACTGCAGCAAGGCCTTCCGCCGGCCCTCAGACCTCTTCCGCCACCAGCGCATCCACACAGGTGAGCGGCCGTACCAGTGCCCCCAGTGTGGCCGAGCCTTCAACCGCAGCCACCACCTGGTTGTCCATATGCAGACTCACACCCGGGGACAGGTGTCCCTGCAGAGACCTGGCCACATGGAGGAGGGCTGACCCCAGGGGCCTGCTGGGCACCCCTGGCCCGCCGGACCCCTGCGCTCTGTTTCCAGACCCGTCCTGCGTGCCTCTTGCTGGCTCCTTATTTGGAGATGGCTTTAGAGAGACTTGTTTTCCATTCAGATGGGAAGCAGCAGCCCTCTTTGGGACAGCGTACGTGTGAGACAGGGTGCCTCCATTTCCCAAATTTGTCACCCTGCTGCCTTTTCTACATTCCTGACTTACAAAGCATTCCATCGGGCAGAAGGGATGCTGGCTTTTGGAAGGGCCTCTGGCCAGTACCAGAGTCAGGAGGACCGTAGGTCAGACCCACCCAGGATGGGACCACAGAGACCCTACGGGACAGGGATTGACTGCGCAGTCTGCTTGTGGCCATGTGAAAAGTGTACAAGTGTATAGGTGGCCTGAAGGAAATCTGCATTTTTTACTTTGTTACTTAGAGACTCTTTTTGCTTTTTTTTTTGTACTGGAAATCGAACTCAGGACCTTGCGCTTGCCAGGCAGGCACTTGTGCCACTGAGCTATATCCACGGCCCTCTTTTTACTTCTTTCGGAGCTTTCCTAGTATTTTTGTAAGTACTGTGTAGAGTTGCAAAGGAGACCAGGAGCTCCTGTGGGGCGGGAAGAGGAGCTGAGTCCGGACTGCTGTGGCCTCCAGGCTGCCCTGGAAGCACGGGGTCTTCCCAGGTGGGTTTCTCTGCCCGCAGTGGCTCCAGGACTTCTAGACTCCCCCGAAGGGCAGTCTCACCTGTTACTTCCTCTCGCTCTCAGTGGACCCAAGAGGGAGTGAGGCCGCCACCCTCCCAGGCTCTCAGGGTTCATGCAGGAGTGCAGTCTACGGACTGGACCCCAGATGTCTGGAGGGGGTACAGGGTGAGCATCGGAAGACCCGCCCCGAGAGGGGGCGTGGCCAGCCCACCTGGACTCGGACCAAATTGGGCAGGGACATCTGGGGAGACTCCTTCAGCCACCTCAGGGCTCACATTCCTTGTCTGAGAGAGTGGCAGCCCCGGTGCCTCACCTCAGTGTTGTCAGTGTCACATGTAGGGGCACTGTCCAAAGCAGAAGCCTGGCTTTGTCCTTCCTTCCACACTCAGGGCCTCCTTTCTGGTCCATGTAGGCGGCCAGCCCTTTCTGCCCAGGAGGAACCCTCAGGAAGGGCCTTTCTCTTCCGGACAGCAGAGGCTGCACACACCAGGTTCCGGGAGTCAGACTTGCCACGGGGCTGGCGTGCTGGGCGCCCTTTCACCAAAGCACAGATTCGGTCCCAGGGAGCCGAGGCCATGGTGTTGAGAAAGGTTCATTTCTCTTGTCATGGTCACGGCTCCTCAGTGCTGTCTGTAGGCCAGACAGGTGCTGGGTGCCAGCCGCCAGCCTTGTGACAGCTTGCTGTCTTGTCTGCTTGTTCCTGGCTGTGCCACTTCCTGTTGCCCTTCTGACCCTTGCCAGTTGCGGCCAGATGGTAACACTGTCACCATGCTTGGGAGGGAGAGCACAGGGCTGTGCCCGCTCCCCAGCGTTCCCACCCTCCTGCGCTGTGGGTTTGCTTGTCCTTGTCTGGGGCCAGGAGTCAGAGATCAGCAGTCACTGAGGGCTGGGACCCGTGCACGGCCGGTCTAGGGTGTTCAGGAGGTGCCTTTGGGCTGCGAGCTGCCCAGGGCCGGGCCTGCTTTTCCAACGCCCCCGTAAATACAAACGCTCTAAGCACAAAGCTCAGGCCTCCCGTTTTATTTTTTCCAAGCATTCGCTGTGCCCAGCTGTGGGATATGCCTGCCTAGTTTGCCCTAGGGTTGGTTTCAAGCGGTCTCTAAGTTGAAATGCTGCCTGGTGCACGAGCCCACCTCCTTCATTTGCAAAACAAAAAAATGGCAGCGCCACAAACTCGAGGCCTCGGCGGGTTAAGAACTGTGAAAGTGGCAGTCCCCAGTCCTAACTGGTGCTCAATAAACAAGCTGGCATAAACGAATGCGTGCGCGTGGTCTGGTTCCGGCACTCCAGGAGCTGCACGCCAGTGTCGGCTGAGAGCAGATGCGTCCACAGCGACCACTTCAGCCGGGAAGTGCGGACTCCACTCGGCACTAGCACCTGCGGGGCGCTTGGACGGCCCCGCGCACGCTGCGTGGGCGGGCCTTCCCAAGCGGGCCAATCAGAAGATCGCGGTGTGGGGCGGAGCTTCAAGAACAACCAATCAGGAGTCTGGTCCAGCTGGGGACGGGTCTTGCTGTCTCACTTTGCGCGCCACCGCCTCGCTCCGTTCAAATGTCGCCGGCCGCGGTGCTTGTGTCCCTGCGTGTCCTGGACTCGGGGGCGACGCAGGGCCGTGGCCGCGGCGGCTTCGGTAAGGACGGCCCTCACGGCCCTCATGGGGGAAGTGGAGTCGCCTTCGTAACTCGCCCTGCAACCTCTGGAGTCGGGGGCTCAGCCGGGGTGTGTGGGTGTTGAGGACGCTAGGGCCGCACAGGAAGGCCTGTCCCCAGCCTTGGTTCCATCTGCAGAACGAGGCGATTGGGCTTCACTGCTTACCCCGAGTCCCGCGGGGCGTCTCCGTGGGTTCGTGGGCAGGAACTGTGGACGTCCTCACTCCACAGACTCGGGTTCCTCGTCCTGGACCTCAGACAGGCGGCCGCCTCCCTGCTGTCACCCTGGTTTTCCAAGCTGAGGCTGGGGTCATTGGCTGTGCTCTGGCATCCTCCGGGAACAGCGTCGCATCCCTGCCTGAGAGACCTGCGATGGTCCTGCAGACCTGAGCTCCGATTTGGGTCAGGGCGGGTTCTGGTGCCTGCCCCTGCCTGCTGCGGGGAGGAGCTCTGCCTTACGGAGGACTTTTGGTTAGTGTTTCCGGTTCAGGTTTGCCAGAATCTCTCCCTGGCTGGGTGACTGAAAAGTTGAGGTTTGCAGTGATTTTAGAGACTTGCCCGGCTACCACATGTGTGGGGCTGCCAGGAGGTGAGGGTGTCTGCCCCTACCTGTGAAGACTGAAGATTTACATTTATCATAGGGGGTTGGTACGCATACATAACACATCTGAATTCTTTTTATGTCCCTTTCTCCTTCCCTCTCCAAATACTTGTTTTTAATAGTGCAGTGGTAGTGTCCTATACCCGAAGTACTTTTCCTTTAGTGTGCTCACCCCTGCCCCCCTCCAATCCAAGAGCCAGGGAAGCTTGATGCAGTGTCAGGAGAGGTGCTGGCCAAGTTCTGGGAGACTTCTATAGATCTGGCTGCTAATGCAGTGACTTCCTGGGGGCTGGGGACAAGACAACAGGTGTGTTCCGACAGAAAGAAACACCAGGAGATGCCAGGGAGGGAAGGGCTTAAAGATCACCGAGGTCAGAATGACAGGGCTCTTCAGTCACCCTTGAGCCCAGTTACAGGGCGGGGTACCCCACCTAGGAGAGGGTGAGAGCTGAGATTGCCCCTGGGGTATGCACTGGGCCCCTGGCAGGTTTTCTCAGTTCCTGGCAGTGATGCTTGCTGTTCCTTTTTCCATCGCCCCTGGTCTTGGTCCACTCACTTCCGCTGTGGTCCAGCATCTGCTCTTGAGCATCTGTCAGGTGGGCCCTTTGGGCTCTGGCCGGTGAGGGCTTCTGGTGCCTGGAAGTTCACCCCCTTCCGGAGGGCCAGTCTGGGATTGGCTCCTGGCAGCCGATTCCGTGCTTGTGTCTGGCCATAGAACTGGCCTGTAGGCACTGACCTCCAACGAGTGGCACCAATTCAGTCTGCAAATAGATCTCTTCCCTGGCCCTCCTGGACCCTGTCCAGGCCATAGAGGAGATGGAGACCCCGGCCACCAGGCTGCAGAGCCTGGAGGGCCGGACAGGGACGGCCGAGAAGAAGCTGGCCGACTGCGAGAAGACGCTGGCCGACTGCGAGAAGACGGCCGTGGAGTTCGGCAACCAGCTGGAGGGCACGTGGGCCGTGCTGGGGACGCTGCTGCAGGAGTACGGGCTGCTGCGGCGGCGGCTGGAGAACATGGAGAACCTGCTGCACAACCAGAACTTCTGGGTGCTGCAGCTGCCCCCGGGCAGCGAGGGCGAGGCCCCTAAAGTACAAGAACGAACTCAGTGTCCTCACAGGCAGAGTGGAGAGAAACCCTTAGCTGTTGAAGCCTGGCCTCTTGGTATCGCAGGCTAGGTACCAGTGCACTGCAAGGGGGTTAAAAAATGTCAAAAGGATGCCAGGCGTGGCAGTGCCAGCCTGTAATCCCAGGCTGAGACAGGAGGATCGCCATGAGTTTGAGGCTAGCCTTGGCTACATAGTGAGTTCAGTCCCAGCCAGAACTACATAACAAGACCCTGCCTCAAAAAACAAAAAACAAACAAACAAAAAAAAAACCCAAAAAACAGGGCCAGGGGTATGGCTCAGTGGCATAAGTGCCTGCCTGGCAAGCACAAGGTCCTGAGTTCGATTCCAGGTACCAGAAGTAAAGTGTGACACCAGCTTTAGCAGATGACACGGGGTGCTGGGATGGACCAGTTGCGTAGCAGTAGTTGTGTGTCTTATTCCAGAATGAACTCTGAGGAGGACGGGCTTAGGTTGGGAAGTCACCTGAAAGTCCTGTCCCAAAGAGAGGACCCCAGAAGCCCTGATGCAGGTCTGTCGGCCTCTGGTTCTGCCCTTTGTGTGATGCAGAGGTGACAGGGAGGAGCTGGTGCTGGCCCCAGCATGCATCTGCTTTGGGGAGGGGAGAGGAGCCCAGAACTGGTTCTAGCTGCACTCTGAGGTGGTCACAGCTCGCTGTAGGCCCCCACGTGCCCTTCCAGGTGCCTGTGACAACAGAAGACAGGCCGTGTGTCCCACAGCCACTGAGGGACCGTCTGGAGGACTGGCAGAAGGAGCTCTGCAGGGAGGTCTGTTGTGGTTTGTCTGTGTGTCCCCCCAAAGCCTCAAGCGGCCCTGGGGCAGGCTTTTAGAGTTTGATGGGTGTGAGAGCTACACCCACCCTGGGGTGGATAGTTTGCATATGTAAGGGAGAGGAAAAGGGTGCTTGAGGCCATTCCTCCCCCATTCTGCCCTGGTGTGTGCTTTTGTTTTGTTGCTGCTTAGCTGTGTCTGCCACCCTGAGCTGTAGCTCTCTGCCATGTGCCAGTCTGCCTTGTAATCTGCCAAGTACCGACTGAAACCTCCACAAACTGTAAGCGAAATAAACCTTTCCTTCCTTAATTTTGGGCGTCAGATATTTTGCCCCAGCAATGAGAGAAAAGTAACCAAGACAAGGTCGCAGCAGGGAGTTGCGAGCCGCCGGGTAAGAGGCTGGTCCTGGGACTCTCCAACCTTAGTTTTGTCCCTTTATTCTGCTGAGAGTCTTAGGTCTGAGAACCAGAAGCACAGTGAGATGAGTCTCCTGCCTTCAGGGAGGTAGAAGGCAGCTAGGCTTAGTGGTGCGTACCCATAATCCCTTGGACCACGTACCCCAGCCTGGCCTGGGACTCTTGGCCGTTCTCCTGCTTCAGCCTCCTGACTATGATTATAGGTGTGTACCACCATGCCTGGCTGTTTGTCCACTCTCCTGCCTCACTGGGAGTCTGAGGTCCAGAGCAAGCACCTCACCTCCCTTTCCTGGCAGGCAGGTCCCTATTCCAGGACAGGGTGCCAGTGTGTGCCAGGATGTGGTGTGAGGTGGGTGCTGTGGATAACGGACCCCCTCTTGGGGCTCAGCTCACTTCAGTGTCTGTCGGTTACAGGTCAGTTTCTGTGTGATGGGGAAAGGTCCCAAGAACGAGGTGCGGGGGGTGAAATAAAAACAAGAGAGACAAAGTTATGGGATCAGGGGCCTGCAGCCTCTAAGACTGAAGCCTCTTTTACAATTTCTTTAGCCTTTTCTTGGGATTCTCACAAAAAGCAGGCACAGGGGAAATGGGAGGAATCATTAACAGGACTAGCGAGGGCAGAGCAGCTTCATTATCACAGGAGCTGAACTTTTACATAGTTGGCCAACATGTCATCATTCCTTTGGACATATCTCAGCAAACCATCTAGTGCTGTCCCGGCGGCTTTCCACAGGGACTAAGGTCCTGCTTTCATTTCCCTTCACACTAATGCTTTGCTAGGCTTCCTCCAGAAACAAACAATTATATGGCTCAGTCGGGCTCAAAGTCCCACATAGGTAATGCATTGAAAGGTAAACCATTGTCCTTCTCCACAAGTGTCACCTGAGGCGGCTCCTGTGTACGGTAGCAGAGTGGAAGCTCTTCCTCCTGTCGCTGTCATCTGGAAGGCCTCTCCCTGCTCTACCTGGTGTCCCCCTAGCACTGCCACCTGCCAGGAGACCCTTGTCACTGTCCTATTCCTCCTCACCGACCATGCCACTAAGCCCGAACCCCTGATCCCCATGGAGAGGGGGGTGAGCAGCTGGGCACCCTCACCTGTGTGGCAGGGGTGAGCAGCCGGGCACTGGTGAGTCCCCCTGGGAGCGAGGGCCGCTATCTGTCACCTGGAAGCACATCTGGTGTTGGGGTTCCTGCCTGGAGACAGGTGGGGGAAGTGAGCCGCTGGATGTCACAGCTGCCTGTTGGCCACGTGGGTCCTGACGCTTGGGGAATGCCAGGGCTGCTTCCTGCATGTTCCTGGAGCCGTCGGTGCGGCCTGACAGGACTCAGCACTGCGGGGATGCAGGGGCAGAGTGGCACCCCGGAACTGGAGACTGAGGTTGCTGTTGTAGTACAGGAAGGACCTGACGTGTGGGGTGGGAGGGGCCACCTTCTGGAGACCTCTGACGCTGCCACATGTCCCATGGCCCCAGTCCTCCAGAGAAGACAGTGAGTGTCACTGCGATGTCTTCCAGCAGCCATCCCAGGGCCTGGCGCAGACTCAGATAATGAGTAAGGATTGCTAAGTGAGCAGTGAGCCAGGATTGCTGCTCAGGTTTTCTATCTTTCAGATAAGAGCACTGGGTCTGAAGGTAGATTTCAAAGCTTTTTTCTCTGAAGCAGAGAAACCCATTATTTGGATGATAAACTGCAACAG